AGAATCTATGACAAGAAATCATGTAACTTACTTCTCAAATTTTTTCTCTTTGTCGTGTTATTCAAATATACAATGAGAGAATGATGATGGCCGTGAAATATTCACATGTATGCAAACATTCGATCAATACGATTTTCTTTAATACGCACGCGTACAAACAACTAGAATTTAGTATTTATGATAAAATGATCATAGAAAGAGAAACAATGAGACGAACGAGATTGTTTAACATCATCGGTCCGAAAGATGAAGTAAAAGTTAAGACATTAACAAATACTAGCCATCCGACAAGAAAAAGAAAAAAGAAGAGAAACATTCTTTCATTTCCTTGTCTCTCAAAAGACTCATTGAACACGATAAGAAGAATTTCGCATATTGTTGTTACGCAATAGTTAGAAAAGGAAAAGATGATCAACAATTCTCATGCTTTGTTTTGTTATAAACCAAGGTGGACATGTATACATTTCAGGATATAACATTAAAAAAAATTTTTTTTGTTTTATTCAATCGATTCACGTTGAAATACAAAAGCAGGTTTTATCCATTGATGACAATTGCATCGTAAGCCTTTAAGTGAATATTCACCTAAACTAATTTTACAATTCGGACAACATATTGTACCGATAGGATTCACAAAGATTTCATCAATCCAATCAAGAAAAAAAGTGAAAATTCGACTATCATCATTGCATATAATACTTGGTGCGTTCTCATGTCTTTGAATATCATTATTAGTAAATAATTTAAAATGGCAAGCTCGACATTTGTATTCTCGTTCATTTTCATTGTCTAATAATACAATGGATGTATTGATGTCTGTTGTTGATTTTGATTCAATTTTATTAAATCGTTTGCGTTGAAATTCTTTATAAAGTTCGTTTTCAATATCAACTTTATAATTCATCTGATGATATAAATCAAGTTGTTGTAGAAATCCATCATTTGGCATAACAGGCGAATAACGTCGTTTAGGAATTATTTTTTCTAGTGCTTGTTCACGTGTTAAAGAATATTTACGCATTAAATACATAGTAGCTATTGTTGCTGAACGTGATATACCTTTTTGACAATGAATCAATACTTGATGACCTTGTTCTATAGCTTTATCAATAAATTGAAAACATTTTTCAAATTCATGTGTTAATAAATCTGTTGATTGAAAATCGTCAGCAATGATATGTAAACGTGTTCGATTTTTATCAATATGAGTTGGTTCATAATCAAGAATTGTTAAAATATGAGAAATTCGATGATCATCAAGAGCTTGAACATTTTCCGATGCAGTTATATCACCTAACCAAATACCATTATCATCAATTTTATCTGCTGTAAACATCATCTATATTTGTCAGAAAAATAAAGAACATATATATGAAAGAAAAATATCACATGTATTTTGATGGATTATTTAAAATATTGTTACGCAAAAAGAAGCGCAAGCAATATATCATTCTTTGAAAAAAAAATAAAAAACTTTAAAAAAATTAATCATGATACATTCTTTGATTGATTATCATAATAATAAAAGTAAAAAACAATGGCTACATATTCTTCTATTTACAATAAACGGCACACTGCAGTTTTCTTTTTTTTTACTTTTCTCTATCTTTGTCGTTTAAAAGATATACTTATTACTAGAGATATATCTATGATGGCGTAACGGAATGTTAAACTTGTAGTTCTATGAAATGAAAATTCGTTGAGACAAGCACAAATGTCTCGTGTTCTCATGTAACGATGAAATGTTTTGCTCTTTTTAAAGCATCAATTAGATTTTCAGATTTCGTTTGCAATATTATGAGCTTTTATTGGTTAGATTATTCCATAGAAGCACTAACAAAAAGCAATAGAAGCTGATTCATTTTTTGAAGATTGATGTTATTTAAAATTCAACGAAATAAAACAATTCAAGAAATTGTGGTTTCATTCCTACATAAATGTACAAAAAAATATTTGCGTTTTTCTCAATGAGTTGTCATTCTATTCGGCTGAACCTATCAAGATATAATAAGTAATAAGCGATGTATCTATGATATAAATATAAAATCAAACGACAAAAGTAGAGAGAAAAAATGTAAAAAGAAAAGGTATGTCGTTCATTGTTACTGGAAGGATATGAACATCTTTACCATCTAATTGATCAATAATTAAAAAAGAAGAAAATTGTTTATGCTATTGAGTAATATATACCGGTTGATTTATTTAACATATTAAACAAGTGTTGAAAGACATGATGAAGTTATTTATTGAATCCCTTTAGCTGCTAATTCTTGTTGAACTCTAGATAATCAAAAACAAAAAGATCGAACTCATTGAGTAAGTGTTTTCAAATAATTCACTTACCGATTAAAATATGTTTCGTCTGGGTAGCCGAAGCTAAAAAGAGCATGATATTAATATTAATATATAAAAAGACAAAAAGATATTCACGCAACAAAAATTTTTCCTTTTGTGTATTTTTCAAAGTAAATATAATGAAATTTTCTTCTTAGATCATTATGTAGAAATATTAATCAATTTCACGGAGCTTGGTGACGTGAAAATTCGCTGAAAATTTTACGATTTAATAAAAAAAAAAGATGTCACTTTTTTGACTGTGAAAAAACATTAAGAAGTTGTTTTAACGAAGTCTCATGAAGTTATTTCGCGTTAAACTATTTCTAGCAGGAAAACACACGCGAAATTTTGCTGAAAGTAACTTTTTAACGCATTTTCACAACCAAAAAGATAACATCCATTTGTATTAAATTTTATCGATTTTTACATGGGTATGAATAAAATAGATTGTAAAATCACGTGGTCTACTATACAATGGATGGCAAGAAATGTGAATTAGTTTTCTACATACTTATCCCGGATAAAGTATACGAAATTTCTGTACACTTGAAAACGACCATATACACTCCGTATCACGATCGTATTTCTCCGTACTGTATACGAAGAAGTTCGATCGTGCTTCTTCAACCTAGATAAACAGATGGTATATAACTCAAATGGAAAAATTAGAATATCAGAAGCGATGGAAATATACGAAATAAAGAATGTCATTTATGTATACATAAAACTCAGATAAAGAGATCTCTTGTATCAAAAAGTGAACGGTAGCTAATGTTCGTGTAGGAGGAATACAAGACACTTTGCTTGAGATTTCTCTAAGGTAACCTCTTGTTTAAGTAGATAAAAATATTTTGATATTTTGATCGATCTAGATCAGAGATACATTTTGTAAATATGAGTTTTTAAAAATGACTGTTGTCCCAAGTATATTGACAAATAGACGACATGGAAGATCAAAAATATTTCATGCGTGAAAACAAGTAGTTATATTTAACAATGAATAATGAAATGAATTTCGTTAACAACGAAAATATTCATTAAAATATTCAACTATTAAAATATTTTTAACATGTTAAAACGAATGATATATTTAATCATGAATAACGAAATAGTATCCATTAAAAAGTTCACGCGTTTTAATGATTGTTGGGGATTTAACAAAATTTAATGATATTTTTCTCATGAAATCCTACCAAAATGCTATTTAACGCAAAATATAGCGTGAGTTTCAGCGAAAACGCCATTAAATGTGTGTTTATCTTTACACGAGGATTACAAGTACAACATGTAACGATTAATCAACAATTTCTTTTAATATAAAGGACGTGTGTCAAATTACAGACCAACTGGTTCAAAGAATCTAAGCCTAGTTTTATCGATCTGAGAATCAGCATTGAACTCTAATTATTTTTCACTTCTGGGGTTCCTCCTCAGATTTTGAAAAACATTTTTTTGTCACCATTTTATTACAAGTTTCTATAGTTCAATAGTGCCAAGTGTGCTGCTTAAGATATTCCGTTTTTTTCAAAATACTTAGATAATAAGAAAGATCTAAAGCATTCTCTAAAAACCTTAAAAATGAATTTTGGAATTTGTAAGTTTATCGAATTCCAATTCCGATTTGTCGACAATAGACCAACTAGCTGCAGAATTTCTCTCTCTGTATTGGAATCTGTAAAAATTTATTTGATATTGAAATATTTTTCCATTGAAAAATGCCAAATATCATTCCGATCGAGTCATATTATGACAGATAATGATTTGTTCAGTCTTATGAAATTACAGTTTCTACGTTTGTGTGCCAGCGAGACTTTTTTTGGCGAATATGTAATCCAATGTACTCTTTCTGTTGACATCATTGTCAACTTGAAAATCAATATCTAGTAAAGCACTTTTGCTCTAGTCACTATAGTTAAGAACGAATATGTGCCTTTTTTTTCTACTAATTTTCAACAGTTTTCGAGCAGAAGAAACCTCGTTTGATTTCAAACAAATATTATGTTTGAAATCAGCAAAAAATCGAGTCGACTTATGTACGTTTCAGATTGTTTCTGTAATTTTCTTTTACGATTGAATTTCGATGTCTAGTCGCAATCAGGGATATATTGAAAAATGAGCTTCATCAAAACAACTATTTAAATATCTAGAAATCTTTACTTTTGTCTTTGAATGCTATTTTATAAGTTTAGAACTGTATTTTCCACTGTCAAAACGGTTGTTTAATCAAGATAATTTTGTCATATACTCCTGAGACGGACTAAAGATCAAAATTTGATAGGAAAAGAAAAGTAGAAGCTATAACTCTATAAGATTGGAAAAAACACTATTTGTAACAATATGACCCGATCGGGATGATATTTGTCATTTATGAATAGAAAAAGATTTCAATATCTCACATCTTTCTTATTATCTGAGCACTCTTAACAAAATATGATGTTTACAATCAGCACACTTAGCTCTATCGAACTATAACGACTTGCAATAGAATGGCGATAGTAAATGTTTTTCGACAATTGAGGGAAAACCTTAAATGCAAAAAATAATCAGAATTCAATGCTGATTCTTTGGAACATTTTGCTAGTAATTTGACACACGTCGTTTATAATCATTTCAAGCTTTGATCTTTTGAACACGATAACTATTAATATGAGTGTTATTTCAACTTACTGTTGCATTCCACCATAAAAATTTGTCTTATGATGAATATCATTCCATGTAACAACATTGTCATAACCCGTTGTTCGAGATTGACCCACCGTAAAGATTTGACGAAGATGAAAAGCTTTCTCAAGTAATTTAAGTATATTTCGACCTTCATTATTGTCAGGTAAATAGGCCACACGAGTCGTTCCATGATATGGCATACCTGGATTTGGGTGTCGTTTCTTGAAAAACGAAAGACAAGAATTAACGGAATTTTTATGTTGCTTTTATCTAATCAATAGAAACTCACATCTTGAGTACCGTTAGGAAAGTGATATGTTATTTCAATAGTACCGGACGAAGTGTGTTTAAAACCTGGTAAACGACGTCTCAGTACAGTGTGTACCATAAAACCATCTTCAGGCTGATTTCCTATATTTCAGTCATTAGTATTAAAGAATATTTAAAAAAAAAATAAAAGTACAACATATCTACCTCGAATTTCACCATAGATAGTAAAGCAACATGGACATTGAGGTTTAATTGTTTGAAAATATTGATCAATACAAGCCACACAAAATGTATGACCACATTTATCAAGTCGTTTTGGTTCAGTACAATCATCCAAACAAATAGGACATATATCTATTTCTAAATAATAAATAAATGTTTATAAAAATTTACTTTTTTTTCTTTTATTAACTTGGTTTTTCTTCTGATGACATGACTTTTACTTCTTGTATTTCATTTTGATCTTTATCGCTCGTATTTATGTTCTCGTCATTGGATACCACTGATACTGATTCAGATGATTGAGGTTGGTTATTTGTGGCTTGTGGAGAGATTCTTGCAGGCACAACTGGCAATTTTTCAACCTTAGATGGTGGCTAAAGACAATAAATAACTTATCTAGTTGTATTTTCAATTATAAAACTCACACTGTCTTGTGCTGATGTTGGTTTTGCTGCAGGCTTTGATAATGTAGGTTTATTCGGTGTTGGTGCATCTGCACTTTTATGTCGAGCCACTGCAGAAGCAGATGATGATGATGATGATGCACTTGATTCATGTTTTTTAACTACTGGTGTCTGTCTTTCTCCAGACTCTGACTTGGGAGCTGATGGATGAGAACTCGCCATATTTTAACAAATTATTTCTGAAGAAAGAAAGAAATTTTGATTAGTAAAGTATCTCGAAAGATCTTTGTAAAAAAAAAATCAATAATAAAACTATCAAAGATTCGTCATTATTCTAGTTGTTCGATTGAATCTAAGGATTATGTATTTGACATTTTCTAGTTTATGCAATTGTCTTTCTTAAACTTGGCACAGTTACGAACAAGACAGGATAATAGAAGACATCATTAAAGAAAAGAGTTAAGTAATAAATAATGAAGATATTTTCTCTACAATAAATTTTCTCAATAAAAAAAGAACAAATTTTAAATTTGTTTCTTAAAGATATCTTCAATTTTTTCTTTATATTAATTCCAGATAACTTCACTATAGTTCTACTTGCAGTGATGTCGTGAAGTAGCCAGGATTGGGAGAGAGAATTAATGGTTAAGGAGACCGATTTAGAAGTTTTTGCTAAATTTAACGGAATTTTTAGAAGGATGTAGGAGAAAAAGAAGAATTTTTCACGATTAGAGGATCAACTCTTCGACATGTTCATCTATGTATCCAATATTTCTTCGAGCAAACTTTATATATCCCCGTATATACGAAAAATATTATATATAGGATTTCATATATATTCTATTACTTTGTGAGCAGGAACGGCGAAACGATTTCAGTCTAGGGGATAAGTTCAAACTTTCAGCCAAATCAGTCCGAAGAGTGGATTGACAATTGGCTCTCTTTATTTTGTATATAATGGTAAGTACTATAGATTTTCTTACTAAATTTTAATTCTATATAAGAATAATAAGTATCTAAGGCTTTATTGTTTTGAAAGAAAACTACAACTAACTGCATTAAAAAAGCCATACAAAATAAACAGAGAAGAAATACAACAATTTATGATCAAAAAACATTTTTTCTATTTTGATGTTTTGAAATAAAATCAGAGAAGATGCTGTTCAAATCAAGAAAATTAATTTTTTTTTTCTATGAATATGATGAATAATAACATGATTTGAACATTGAAGAATCGTTCAGCGGTGGTTACTGTTATGGGAATTTTTAACTGTAACGATAAAAATTTACTATAGTCAGAAAAAATTGTTTTGTCAACTTGTTGTGCATTTAAAAAATAAAATGTGGATTAACTTGTAATAACATGCCATCTGACAGAAGAAAATGAAAATTACACAGTAATAGAAAATTTTTACATTTGATAGAGTCTACTTAAGCTTTTATCTATTCAATTCATAAGCCTATCCAGGCCTCATAACACTGTTATCTATGACTGTTGGATCGAAGCAAATAAAAATCCTGGGTCGAAGTCTTCAGAAACAATCTTACGTTAGTTGCTTTCGAAAATGAAGAAAATATAGTTAGTTTCTTTGTATAGAGTTTATAAACTTTTGTTCATTGTATTTATCGCATGAAAAAACAATGACTTAAATTTTAATTACTAGACGGAAATAAGTCGGAAGTAAAATCGGAAGACGATAGAGAACAGCAGATGTATTGAAAAATAGTTAAATGAGAATAAAGAAATCTTCATTAAATTATTTTTGTATACTGAAATCAAAGAAGAAGAAGGATAAAGATAACTCTTAATCAATATTATGAATACAAATGATTCTATAAAGCAAAAAGTTAATTTTAGAATTTTGAATAAAATAGTAAACGATTCGTTAAATTATCCCATTGGTTAACTGAATCAACGAAACAAATTCAGTAGTATTATTCTCTTCTTTTCTATCCACAAAAATAGTTTCATATTCATTTATTTTTATCAAATATTAGTATACAATTGTAACAAGAGAAAAAATTTATTAATCGAAATAATTAAGAAATCTATCGTAACAATAACTAGAATTCTTTCCTATGACTCATTTAGTGTTCTTCTTCTTGTATGTTTACACGTACCTATAAAAATTGACATCGTTTAGAATTGTTTGAATAATTCTTTATTTATTTTAGATATTCTTGAAACCGTAAATACAATTGAATAAATATAAAATATATTGAAGATGATTAATTGAAAACTTTGATACTTAAAATAACTGATGCATTGTATTCATTAACGAAAATTAAGATAAAAAAATTCTTATTTGATAGTTTTGAAAGCATCTGTAGAAAATGATGTTGCATTCATAAATACGTAAAAATATTCATTGGAGTAAATTGAATTACTATATTCAATTGAATACTTTTCTTATAGAAATCACTTGAACTTACAAATCATTATGAGATTTAACTAATTCCTTTTTGTATTTTACAGATAGAATAACACTTTCTGTGATCTAAATAAACGTGTGTTTGTTGAAAATATGGGTGAGTAAAGAAACTTAAAATTAATAAAAAATATTAGAATTACAATTATTTTATTATTTAAGCTGCATCACATGCTTCATCATTTCTTATATCACTTCTTATTAGTTTATTATTATTTGCATCGATGCAATTATTCCGTACGCAACTTGCAGCAAGCCAACCATTGACTATTGTTGGTGGCTTTATTGGTTCATTGGTATTTGTGTCACTTTTAACGGTATTGAGAAAGAAGAATGTCAATCTGTTAAATTTGATTTAAATCGTGTTTTTTTTCAATTCTTTGTTTCTTAAGGCATTAAGTAATTTTGAAATGAATAGTTTTGGACCAAATTATCAAGCACGAATTTTTCCGGAAGGTTAAAATAAAACTTTGTTTTTGTTGTTGATTTTTGCAAAAAGATTTTTATTGTAGTTGTTATTTGTTTATTTATATCAATGATATGTTCTGCATTTGTTCATCGAGTCTGTGTGACAACCTGGTATGTAATAGACTAATGATAGTAAGAAGAAATTAGTACCAATTATATATGATTACAACTTAGTAATTATATGAGATTTTTCATAAGCATTCACATTATATTCTATCAGAAAAAATATTTTAATAATATCATCATTATCAAATTAGTATGCAAATTTGAGTAAACTACCTTGAGGTACAATTTCATGAAGGAAAAAAAATGTTTCGAGGATATATTAACCTGAATGTATAGCGTATAATTGCAATCAGTATGTTCTGTAATCTAATTAAAATTGACCTTACGGAAACCTAGACAAATATCGTAGAAAAGACATCCTGATTATATATAATTAGTCTACATATTAACCTTTGTTCTTTCGAACATAAATATTATTAGAAGCAATACCATTAAGAGCAACATGAGAAACGTTTAGTGCAACAGTGCGCTATCTGAGATGGCATAATCGTCATTAAAACATTGATTTATGACTTATTTCGGTCGATTATCTTGATAATAATAATAATAACAAACTTATTGAATGGTTCCATGAGGAGCCAAAGTGTGGAATTTACAAACTATGACTATTATAAATTTATGGTATACAGCCAGAGAAATTAAAATAATTTATTTATAAAAATGATAAATAAATGGATAAATCATAATTATAACAATTTTTGTAGTTGATATACGTGCTATGAAATTTGATCATTTCGAAAATGTTTGCATTTAGAATTCTTATTTCATCAATTTTTTAGATCGTTATACTGAAAAAACCTTATTTATATTATCAGATGCATATCTAATACATCACTTCTTTTCTCCTAATGATAATACATACGATACACGTCCTAGGAAGCGGCAAATATCATTTTTTTCTTCGTTTCCTTGGTCCAATCATCCTTAGTGTGTGGCTACACATGCTGATGCAATCATTGAATAAGCTTTCGAGGACAATTATATTTTCTCTCAATGAAATTTTGACATATACTGTTAATCTTTGCCTAACTTAGAATTGAATCAGTTCATATTTTTCTATGTCCATCCTACTGACTAACACCAATAATCACATGCTTATGCTGCATTAAATATTAAAATCTTCGATGTTTAGACTGGTTAGAATCTACAGTAGAAATTATTAGATTCATGTAATGCTTTTGAAGATTCTACAATGATCTAAGTGCTATTATTACTGATACACTTTTCTCTGTTGCTAGGACTTGAGGAAGAGCCGTAAAAAGTTTGGTGTAAACTGATATTCACTATTTTCTTCAAACAAATGTGAGTTTTACAAAGAAAAAGTGCGTAAGTTTAACTCGAATAACTATCTTGGTCAATTTTAATGTAAGCTGTGTGTAATTCAAAAACCGAGTGACTTTTTTTGTAATATTGTTAGATGGTTTAATATAGTTCATCAAGCTCTACGAAATTACATATGTCAAAAAAACTCGCATTTTTTATATGGAATAAAAACACTCGATTTCTCAATAAATTTAGCTTTTCTCATGCTTTTCATTGCCAAAGAAATCGAAAAATATGCTCAATCAGTGCAACGTGAAATACTGTATCTAATGATATTGGTTAACTAATATCATTATATGCAGTATTTCACGTTGCATTAATTGAGAATATTTTCCAATTTCTTTAGCAATGATAAAAATAAGAAAAGCGCGAGTTTTTTTTTACATTTTTAAAGTTGTTTTTTGAAATTTTAATCTTAAAAATTGCTTTTAAAAAATTTTAATATATATAGTTTTGTAGAGCTCGACGGCCTCTATCAAACCATGTAAAAATATCAAAGAAAAACAATGTATTTAATTTTGGAATTACTCGCACCTGCTATTGATCGAGGCATTCATATTTGGAAACTTGATCCGTCTACTACTATATCAACACTGATGGAGAAGAAAAAAGTTTTCTTTTGTTTCTTACTAAGTAAATTTGAAGTTCGCGTTTATCAAACATAACTTTCATTATCTTAAACTTAAAGCAATATTGAGTTCTTTGAATATGAAATAAAAAACGCTTAATTTAGATAATGAATGATTTTTATCTATTTGCAAAACCTATATAGTTTTCACATGATATATGCTTTGAAATCCTTAACGATTATCAAAAAAAGATAATAAACAATATGACTAAAATTACGCAATACTATTTCTTAGTGTATTTTACAATAAAAAGAAATATAATAGTTTTTTACTTTTAATTAAAATTTGATTTATTTTAGTTTGATCTTCTCATTAATTGCACTTTATTATATTAATCGTATTTCAACAAGTACCTATGGAAATCCAAGTGTACCAGCAACAGGTTATGCAACACAAAGTTATTCTATCAAAAAGAAACAAAAATAAACATATATAATAATGAGATATTCTTATCTCATATTAATTATTTCAATGATTTACATGTCATTCTATTATTCTTTATAGATTACAACTTCAGTAGAATTCTTTTCTTTTTTCTTTATCCAATTTATTTCTATTAAAAAGCCTGTAGTAGAGTTTTTCTTAATAAAATCAAGTCTGGTATATTTTTCTCTTTAGTTTTATTTGCTTAATGAATTCATTGTATGTGCATAATAAAAATTGCTTGCGCTTTCTGATTTCTTAATCGATATTTATCTATCGATCTATCTGAGAGCTTAATATTATTGCCATAGTATTGACATTTCTGTATGTCGCAGGCGAGAGTTTATGGATGCAAACGTTCAATTATGCTTTCCGCTCATGAAAAAAGTCTACTTTCTTTCTTGTCATCTCGGAATTTTTTTTCTCTCGCTTTGCCATTATGAAAAAACAATGACTCGAAACGACTGTTTCCTGATAGAAAAGGCTAGAGACCGAAAGACACGAAATAAGAAGAATAAAGAAATGAGAAAGAATGAGAAAAAATAAAAGAAGTACATCACTATCAACAATACGAAGATAATAATGTTATATACCATTTATTTTTCGTTCGTGCTTTTTATAAAGTTTACTAAGATTTGGTAGTTTATTAAGTATCATGACATACAGAATGCGTGTCGAGAGAAAAATATCATTGAAATAGTTATCTTCATACGAGCAGAAAAGAGAACGATAAAAGTAACTGAAAGAGCAGAGATAAAAAAAAGAAACTGTTTACACGTTCCTATGTAATATAAACAGTACTGAAACGATAATGAAATATTGCATTTATTGCGTTTTAGATCATTGACAATAAACTTATTTTGCTTGGTACCTTTATTATGTGGTTAGAATATCTCGTCATGTAGGTAAAATTTTGGAAGAATTTTACACATGTACGCTAATTATTTATCGCTGACAAGCTCATCATTTAATTTTGATAACGTACATGAACAACAACGACAACAAACATCTCGTTCCTCATATCAATTATATCGTTATAGTCATGACCCAATATCATCAAATTTACTTCGTCGTGACATTCCACCAATTCTGATATTAATATTTTTTCTTTTTCTTATTATTATTATTTTATCACAAATTCTCGTTGTTCATACATCACGTTATGGTACTAATTTTTCTACAATGCAAAAAGTTCAAGAAGAACTTAAACAAATGGATGAAAGTATGGAAACAATTTTGCATGATAATGTTTTACCAATAAATAAATGGCGTGTTTTATTTCATATTCAAACATATCTTTATCGTTTTGAATATTTTTTTGATTTATTTAACAATCAAAATATTTCGAAAAATGACAACTTAAATCAAGCCGAAACTAATTTTTCTATTAAAAAAAATTTTAAACAATCAAATGAAACTTTCAAACAAGAAAACAATGATTCTTATTCAATAAGTAATATTAAACACGTGCAAAATGGACTTGAAGAACTTATTGATGAAAATAATGATTATTTATTTCGATGGAAACGAAAAAAACTAAAATATAATTATATAGATAATCATAAAAGAAAAAACTATTGTAATGAATACCCGAGTCAATTAAGTATGTTTGAATCAAATCAGAAATAGTATTCTTTAAATTTGTTTTTTTTTTTGTAGAAGGTCGGATTTTTGATGAAAATTCAACCTTTCCTAATGTTTCTTTATATGAAATTGAAATGAATTATTCGAATATTAGACCGGGTGGTCAATGGTCACCATCGTCTTGTCTTGCTCGTCATAAGGTGACATATATATATAATACTATGTTTTTATTTTATATCTAAAGAAGAATAACGTGCAATAGTAGTCGCAAGAAGTTCTGCTACCAGATAAAAGAGACAATCTTCCTTCAATCCTTTTGACTGATATTTTGTCTATAAATAGAGCTCGATAAATTCTGATCACAGACAGTAATCCAAAGTCAATAAGTCTTAATCTCAAGGGTTCACGGTGAAAACGATGATTTTTTTTTCTTAGTACCTATAAAAAGTTTTTTCAATCCTTCTGATTTTCCACTATTTAAACATGTTAACCTACATTTTCTTATTAGCAAACAAAGGCTCGCATGTCTATATTGTGTTATAAATAGGATACTTAAGTTCATTGTAATTTTGAGGCGCAAAGAAGCCTTCACTGTCTTAAACGGTCTCAGAATGAATCTAATCTTCATCGATGATTGTGATCGTGAAATTTTGAGGGAACACTTAATTAGAGTAGAGCACTCATTCAAGAAAATTTCAAAACAAATGAGTAAAATTATCTAGAGATTATAGCTTACTTTTCAACGATTCTCATCAACTCTCATGTGAGAACTACCCAAAGAATACTTCATAAATCAGGCAAAGTAAAATCACTTGACATGGAGTTTTCCTTGGTGATAGAGACAGCATTGAGCTGTCGAATTAGTAGTCTCATGTCATGGGATTTGTTTTCTATGTTGAGATATCCTCAGTTGACGAAAAAATCTATGTTAACCTATTAGCTTCTCTATATGAAGGTCAAACAAATTCTCATTAATTCTTACTTGTCAGAGTTCAACATGCTCTATTTGTAATCAGACTATGAGACTAAACAACTAAAGTTTAGGTACTTTTTAGAAGGCAGCGTGACATTTGTAAATACTGTAAGTTAAAATTCATAAATATTTTTCGTTTTGATTTTATTTAATATTTAATATTGAAAAATCAAAAATTTAATTTTATAATTAATTGTAGGTTGCAATCATCATTCCATATCGAGATCGTCTTGAACATTTAGTTACACTACTTTATTATTTACATCCAATATTACAAAGACAAGAGCTTGATTATAAAATCTATGTATCGGAACAAATAGGAAATGGAACATATAATAAAGGTGTTTTAATGAATGCTGCTTTCATATATGCATCGAGTGAATATGATTTTCAATGTTTTGTCTTTCATGATGTTGATTTAATACCAGAAGATGATAGAAATATGTATTCATGTCCAATTTTTCCAAGACACATGTCTGCAGCTGTTAATGAAATGAATTATAAGTAAGAAAAATTATTGACAATTGATTATTCTTTAGGTAGAACTATTTTATATTAGATTGACTTATGAAGAACTTATTGGTGGTGTATTGAATATACGTACGGAACATTTTTTAACAGTTAATGGTTATAGTAATCTTTATTGGGGTTGGGGAGCTGAAGATGATGATTTATATTATCGGTAAAGAGACGTATTTTGATAAAAAAAGATTTTTTTTTAAATAAAAACTAATACATTTAGATTAAAAGACGTTTCTTTGAAAGTACTTCGTCCACCATCATCTATTGCTCGATATAAAATGCTTCAACATACAAAACGTACACCGTCTGTATGGAATAAACGGTATGTATTTCTTTATAAGTTTCTCTCCGTGTTGAAATTAACATTGCATTATTAATGAGCTATGATTTTTGTATTGTTAAAAATTATTCAAGTGCCGCGTAAACAATTTCAGAGAAAGAGAAGATCGTTCACAGTGGATGCCATTTGCGTGAAATGAATATTTATATGGTACAACATCGGTTGAATTAGTAATACATATATGGAATAAATAATTCCCTGAAAATAATATTAACATATGACCTGCAAAAGAATATTCTTTTGTCTTCATATGACACTCTGTTCTAGATTTCGAAGTATGAATGAGTTCGTTGATCTATAGCTGTAATATTTTACTGTTAGAATCAAAAACTTAGAGAAATCATTCGGATCTCTATATTGAAATTTGACGTGTATGTGATGTAAATAAGAATGATCCAATTGATCTTTAATCACTATTTTACTTCTTGTGAATTTTCATGATTATTAGTTTTTGGAAATCATTTAAGTGTAGTCAAATTCAATCATACATACTTGAATATGTTCATATAATCAAGAATAGATGAAACTGAAATACTCACAAAAAAAAATGCACGCGCTAATATTACAAAAAATGGCCGACAGCAATCAATTTTTTATTTCGAGAAGATCTTGAGATTTTTATTGCAATCTCTTTTGTTTTTGCTCATTCAGTTATTTATAGACTTGGCAGACCGATTCAAGTAAAAATATCTGCAGAATAATAACTTTTTTGTTCGACGATATAAATAGATTATAGAGATCTTGAAGATCAATGGAAGCAAAAGAAAATGTGAATCTATACTGATGACTTTTTAATCTCGATACATCGGCTAATAAACTTGATTATATAGTACTTAGATAATCTCTAATTATTTCGATTTATTTTTCAAACTATGAATCAGTAATTTTAGAAAAAAAAAAACATCATCATTTTGTTTCAGTTCATTCATGAAAAAATATCTGAATTCGATATGGATTTTAGTGCTAAAATTTAATGATGATTTAAATATGAAATTCTATTTGTTCATGCTTATTTTTCTTTTTTAGAGCTAAATTACTTTATTCAGCAGCTAAACGTTATTCATGGGATGGTGTATCATCAGCTCGATATAATTTAACATCTGTCACTGCCTATCCATTATTTACACATATTATTGTCGATGTTGGTTTGCCACCACCTGGTTTTAGTTAATAATCAATGAAATTTTTAGTCAAAAATTGTATTTTGTTATAACAAAAAACAAAACAGTATATTTTCACTTTTATTCATATTTTTCTATTTCTATAACTAGTGAAAAAAACGGTGTTATTTTCGATGTTACGATGTTTATGTTTTTTTTTAAATTATGAGTGCAATATTTAATTTAAAAAAAAGAGTCAATGATTGGTACATCTGTATATAAAAGAAACATATGTGTTCTTTCGTAAAAGAGCGAATAAAACAGTCATTGGTTTCTTTTTGTCAAGTCTTTTTTCTTTTGTTTTTATTATACCGTTGCTTATTTCGCCGTCCTTTTGGATTTTGTTTTTTATTATTATTCCTTTTCCTTGTCTTTTTGCTTTGAAAAGAAATATAGCGAAAAACAAAAGTTGACAAATGGTCGA